TCTCTGCCTGCAGTTTGGGGACATTGGGTTCATCTATAATTCTGTTCTATTTTGTCTTTATTACTATTTGTTCATTATCTGTAGAATTGTATTCTGGGCCCAAGAAAGGTTAGGAACAATTAGATGTTCCTAGAGATGTGGAGATATTGAGGCACAAGAGGATGGGCAGCCAAAGTGCTGACCCTGAGCCCCGGACTGTGAAGTCCTGAAGGTGAACCTGAAGGTGACATGCTAAAGCCAGTCCTTTGTCTTACAAACTTCCCCCCTTCTGACTGCGTATAGGTGTGGTCTTACCTTGACTTAATGGTCTTAGCTTTTGTGATGGTATAGAGGTGTGGTCTTACCTTGACCTTGTGGTCTTAATTTTTACAGTACTATTGTCTATCTTATGCCTGCCTGTGACTGGAATCACTCTTGTGGTGTGCCCTTGAAACTAGTATATAAACACCTGGAGTTAGAAATAAAATTGCAGCAGCATTTGCAAGCTTCACCTCGGTGTTGAGTGCTTTTGTCTGACTGTCATCGCCGAACCTGCTCCCACCTTTCAGAGAACCTGTATCTCCTCGTGAAATCCCGTGTTTGCTGCCCTACGGTCGGTAGCACCTAAGAGCTTACTGAATAATGTTGCAAAAATAAAATATTTTTATTTGTGCTTGATCCTATAAACTACATTCTGACATATAATTTCACCGAGCCCCAAAACTGTTATGTACACATACACTTACTATATGTGAACATTAAAATAATTTCATATAATCATTACAAATTAAAAGAAACAACACAAAGGGAAAATACTGAGGCAAAAAACACAAACATCCTACACAGAAATATGATGACTAGAAACAAACATTTCTTAGTTATCAAAAACCATGAAATGTGCTGCTATAAAGATTAATTTTCAAGATTTAACTTTATGTGTCCTCTGGTTTTATATCAACCTACACAATGAGTGTGTATAGCTGTTGGTAACTTACCGCAAGTTCTATATCTTCTGAATGGAGCTTGGCTTGGATTGCTGCAAATCCTCCTAATTCTCCAAACTATAAAGAAAATAAGTACAACTTTACTTTGAAACATTATACATTAATACTTTAACTGGTGCCAGGGATGTAGCTCAGCGGTGCTGTGCCTGCCTGGCAAGCACAGGTCCTGAGAGTTCAATTCCCCATACCACCAAAAGAAAAAAAAAAAACTTTAACCAAGAAACTAAAGTTAACATTTTACTTTATCATTGCATTCTATAATATTAGTCTTGAGAAATTCATCATGAAGGAAATTATAATGTTCCTATGGTATACTGCATGGGATCAGCTAAGTCCAAAAGCTGAGGAACAGCTGTACGGATTGTGCATACAAAAAGACGGAATAAAACATATCTCTTTAGAAAAATGTTCTGATTAGTATCTATGCTTGTCATGTGCTTAAATATCAACTCTGGAAATTGATAAAAGTTGTATACCTTATTAACCAGATCCACAACCCATCCATGAGGTTCCTACGAGAAAAGAAAATCAAAATTGAGATGGCAATATAAAAGCTTCTTCAATAACCCTTATAGTTCTCTTATCCTATATAAGAAATCAGAGGAAAACATTAAAATCTGAAAAATACTTTAAAACTCTTTTCCAAGTATTGCCTAATATAAATCTTTAATATTACCACATACAATTTATGAACTCTGTAAGTCTGGATAGAACTGCCACAATGTGGAGATGTGTGCACTTTTGAGTAGCCCAGGTCAGTTGTTTTAGCTCTCCAAGAACAGAGTAACCAGTTAAATTCTCTAAGAATTTTATATTTTAAAAATTAAGAATTATTTACCTAAAAGTAGTTAATCAAGAATCAGAGATTAAAGTTTAGTTCCTAAGCCAGATCTTTCTGTTCTTTTTTTCCTCTTCTGCTTTCCTGATTCAGAACACTGAATGGGAAGAGATGTGGTAGCCTACTTACATAGGGCTCATATTCTAGCAGGGGCAACAAAACCAGGAAAATTTCCACATGCGTAAGATAATTCATAAGCCTTATTAAAGAAAAAAACAAAAGGGCCTCCAAAGAAAATTATAAGGAGATTTCTCTACTTAGGGTGGTAGTCATGAGAAACCTCTAAGAGGTAGTCTTTAAACTGGAACCTAAAGGATGCCATAGATTTAACCATTTAAGAAATAGTCCAGCAGAGAGGCTAAAATGGCAAAGGTTGTTTGGGGAAGGCAGAAGAGAGTCTACTGTGTTTGAAAGACTAAGTGAAAGCCAGTTGAAACTTGATGACCCAAGAGAAAGGTATAGATGAGGTGTGGACAGAAGCAAAGCCACAAGAAAGCTCACAGGCTGTGATTACAAAGAGAGCAACACAAGGGTTTTACACAGTAGAGTGTTTTACATCTTAAGTTGCAGTTCTGTTGAGAATGGGGTGGAATGGGACAGTGAGCGGCAGTTAGACACCACCAGCTAGAAGACAAGTGCAGTGACCGGAAAGGATACAGTGGTATGGAGCAGGGTAGTGGCAAAGAGAGCAACAGTCACTGGAGGTATGTTACAGATTCAATTGAAGAGGCTACTTATGGTTTGGAGGTGGAAATTAAAAAAAAAAAAAAAGGAATGACATGTAGGAGACACGTGTGTCTTTGGTATGCTTGTAATCAGTGATAACGTTATTTACTGAGAGAAGAATAAAGGCCGAGGAGGCACCCTACTGAGAACTCTGGGTAGCAGCAAGGGGAGATGGTTGACTTATCAAGTCCGCTGTGCTCAGAGAAGAGGTTGGGGCCACAGCATAAGAGGTTGGAGCACCATCAGCATAAAGATGACAACTAAATCTATGCAGATGAAAAATACTTAGAAACAGTAGACTGAAAACAGGAAGGCTTGATAAAAGCTGGGCAAGACAGAAAGGAATCCACAAAGAAACTGTGGTTCCGGAGAAAGGGAAAAAAAGGCAAGAGACTAAAGTGTTCTGAAAGCCAGGGAAGAAACAGACTCAAGGAGGAAGAACTGTGCCCAATGCTGCATTTGGAGGTGAGATGCTTCCTCCCAGCCTGGAAATGCAGAGGCCTTGGTGCCTTAACAAGAGCAATTCTGGTAGAAGGTGGGATAAAGCAGCAGGACAGAAGGCTCTGAACAGTTAATGAGATCTCAGTCTGGCTACTTCAGACAGTTCTCTAGTTGCAAATACCACTTAATAAAAATATTAAAGAAATAATCTCTTAAAACATATAGCTGAGTTGGCAATGAAGAGCTCAGAAGTTAAAACAAAGAGAAAGCAGGAATCCTGTGAGGTACACAGATTCTGGAGCCAGCTTTCATTCCACAGATATAGGTGAGTCTGGTGGCCTGAGTCTCCATCTTCATGAGGAACAGGACACATAGTCAAGGTAGGGCAGAGAGAACAGAACACAGAGAACAGGAGAGACTGACTCATAAGGATGGAACCCAAAGGGCTCCATTGGCAGAGGCAGTGAACTCAAGCACACTGCAGGGGGAAAACAGGGAAGATGGCCTACTTTGTACAGGATAGAGGGGAGAACAAACTCTCTCTGACTGTAACCATGGAATTACCCCTCACATGGCTTTGCTGCTCAAGTTCACAATGACTTTATAGTCTAAAACACCTGTTATGTACAAATTTGGGAATCTAGAAGTCTGTGCTTTGACAGAAATCAAAGTGTATTCTACAGTGGTCTCAGATTATAGGGCTTTAATCACATGGAAGAAGTAAATTTTCCTTTATTTTTATTTTTTTTTTTATATGGTCTCTCTATGCAGTTTAGGTTTGCCTTGAACTCCTGGTGATCCTCCCCCAATTTTCCTAGTGCTGGGATTACAGGCATTTGCCACTATGCTTGTCTATAAAAGTAAATTCTCTTTGGAGGGAAAAGAACTTTCAACTCAGGCCTCAAAAACTTCCCCTACATTAAATTCTAAGAAATGTGAGTTCATGGAAATAAAAAAAAAAAAACATACTTAAGCATATACTGTAATCTATACATCCACAACACATACACAAAACAAATTTTAAATTTCAGACGAGATTGGGTACATTTAGGATGGTATGGCCATAGACTTTTAAATTTCAGACACAGAATGTAAAAGTTAAGAGTAAAACCTAGGAGCAAAATACAGTACTTGAGAAAGCGAGACTAGAAAAAAATCTTGAGCCTTAACAGAAGAGAGAATTGCTTTGTGGTAATGAGGAGAAATACAAAGACTGACCCTATCTGGTATCCATTTGTGGCCTATGGAAATTGAAGGGAAAGAACCAAAGTCTGCTGAGTACTTAGTACAGTGAACTATGTTCAAGGTTTCTATGATTCCAAAAGGAGACTAATGGAGAAGAGACAAGTATAGTGACATTGGGAAGTAGTACTACACATGGTTAAAGAAAACTTGAGTTGTTCTTTTATTGAGGCATTTAGACTTGGGAAAGCACTTAACCTCCATCTCTATGTCTCTCATGAAAAAGAGTCTGTCTCACCAATTTGTAGTTACTGCAAAAATTAAATTCCAAAGTACACATTCATTGTCCTTTCCACTTAGTTCTTAGCTCCTCTCCGGAGCACTGCCTGACCCACCAATGTAGCAATAACCACTCCTTGCCCTCTATTTTATACAGACTACATGATATTATAATTATACCTATTGTTTTCTATACAATAATTTTTTGTTTTCATATTTTTTCTTTTCTGCTGTAAGCTAGAAACCACACTGTAATACTCTGTATTAAAAAAAGGACTACTGGCTTATATTTTATCTCCAAAACCTAGAATAATGCCAAATACACTAAGCAGTCAATAAATGGTTGTTAAACCTCTGCTAAACCAGTAGACAAGTTTCCTATCAACTAAATTTGACTTTTTAGCTGTTTTTCAGAAACCAGTGTTTGAGCTAGAGAACTATTTAGATTACACACTCCTTGAGGGAATAAAGTTATTGGCACATGGCAGACCTTTCAATAGCAAACAAAGATATTGGTTCTGGGCCTGAAAAAGCAGAAGTTTTAATGCTATGGAGTTTAAAATAAATTATATATGAGTAGATGACATTTGAGGTACAATTAGTTATTTCAAATCATTTCAAATGCTCTCCTGTCTCAAATATCTCTAAGGAAGGGAGAAACCAATTAAATTGAAGTTCTGATAATTCAATATGCAGGGCACTGAGGTCATTTCTTATTTCACCAAATATACTTTCAAATCTATAAAATTTTCATATCAGTTAATAGCTACAGAAATAAATGTTAACTGAATAAAAATTTTTATTATTATTCTGAATAAATTTTAAGGCATTTCATTTAGCAATAATCGCGCCTCAAATAAACCTGACTACAATACTGCCACTGTGCAAAGCTTAAGGCATTTCATGAGCCATATGGAATATTTATAATTTTTTATAGATCATTTTCATCTTTCTATGTAAACTGGTACTTTTATAGCACAGAAAATGTTTTCCAGTTTCTTTCTCTATAAAAAGATGAAACAGAACTATGTTTACCTTTTGAAAAGTAGATACAGGTGAAACAGCAAACATATTTCCCTCTCCAAATACTTCTGCCCAGTTCCTTTGAGAGACTTTCATTCTGTTTTTAAAGTGGTATTCATTATCAGGATTAAAAGCCTAGATTCAAAGAGAACAGAGAAATGTTATTTTCCATTTCTATAGCAACACATTAGCATTAGAAAAGAAGATAAAAATATAGGTTTGGGCCTTTCCATTAATGGAAACTTTCAAGAATACCAAATGTTGGCTAATGCAGGGGAACCAAAGACTGGTATACTGCTCCAACAGGAAGTGGAACCAGCAGCAGGGTGAGAAGTCTGACTCTAGGCCTGGCCGGGACAATGCCCAGGACCAAGGGCTGCCAAAGGCCAAGCAGGGTGACAGAGGCAACTAAGAGGAAGATAGGAGGGAAAGGCATGAGCTAGTCAAATGACCAAAAACCAAAAGACAGGAACACCCTACATTAAAGTACTTAAGATTTAAATAATCAAGTTGAAAAAGGGAAAACTAATCATTCTATGAGCTGAAAGTTTATCAAAATTAGAAAAGTTTTTCGTTCAAACTGAAACATAGGTAGTTGGTCTATATTTAAAATAAAAAGCCAATACTCTAAGAACTCTTTGATGATAAAATCATTAATTACAAGTTTAAATAAAATCAAAATGCAAAGTACTTCATTTAAGATACTATACCATTGTCAGCACACCCAGAAGACCAATGGGAATTGGATCTTGTTTTATTCTCTCTGCAACCAGCTCTATTAACAGCATTAACATGTTGTAGATTCCTTCGTGAATTTCAGTGCCCCATTTGTGAACAGCACTCGATGTCAGGAGCTACAAAAACATAAAAAGGCAGTCTACAATCTAACCAGAAAAAAGAAAATAAACCAACGGTTTAACTGTTTGCCAGATCACAAATATCAAGAGATTAGGATCAAAATATCATTTTGTACAGATGGCTTGCTTCAAAGGATCCATAACTGAAGTCAGTCCATTTACTTTTTTATTTCATTCAAAGTCATTGCAACTGCTTATTAATTTTCATTCCTGAGCTCACAAAAGCAGTTTACTTAAAAGAAAATTTTTATTTGGTTCTCTTTTTCAGGAAACCTCAACTGGTACACAGCAAGTAAAATCCTGAGATCAATTCTGGATGCTACTGTTTCTAGCTATGTGGACTTGAATAAATTTACCTGAGTTCCCACAAGCTCAATCCTTTCATCTCTAATGAAGGGTAATTCCTGCCAACTTCACATAGATATTACAAGGATCAAAAGATGTCACAAACATGAAAGCATGTTATAAATGTTATTAATGTATCTTGATAATTGGCTGTTAATATTAATTATCTCTGGAATCTGAGAAATAGATGCTTTATTTCATGGATTCTGTCACACATATTCTTTTCACATTTTTTAACATCTCAGAAATAGAACTGCATTTTTGCCATCTGTTGACCAGACGACACAGGACTCTAAATTTAGTCAACAAATTGTAAAAATACCTTATTAATTTATTTTGCTTTTATTTTCTTTTTGGCATGTACAGAAGAAATATTTAACTTTTACATGTTTAAAGAAATCTAAAATACCTCATAAGGGATAAGATACTGTAACATTAGTATGTACCTATTTTTCTTAAACATAAAAATCAAACATAAAACAATGATACATCTTATGATCATCTCAGATTTGTTTAAAAAAGAAACTGATTGCCGGGCATGGTGGCACATGTCTGTAATCCCAGCACTGGGGAGGCTGATGCAGGAGGATCGCTGTGAGTTCGAGACTAGCCTGGGCTGCATAGTGAGTTCCAGGTCAGTCTCAACTACATAGTGAGACCTTGTCTCAAAAAAAAGAAATTGATCAAGATATGCAAGGAAGAAGAGGGGAAGGGGAAGTAAAAAGGAGTATGTGTTATGTACACGTATAAACTCACTCTGACAAATCTAATCATTATGTACTGTACTACAAACATGTACTAATAAATTAAAAATAAAAAAATAAGTAAATAAAGTAAAAAAAAGAAACTGGAGTTTGTCAAGCTCAGTCTTCTAGTACATGGGAGAGTCTAATTCAGAGTACCTGCCCGAAATCAAAGGATTTCACTTCAATTGGTGGGGTGGTTTAATGTTTTTATTAAGATTTCGCTCTAGAATGAAATAAAAGTCTCATCTTGGCACACTGAGAACTACTTTGACAGAGCAGCTCAAGAGCGCTCAAACTTCAGGAACTGCAGAGAAAAAAATCAGTTCTAGATTTTCCAAGTACCAATAGCTCCACTATATGCTCAAATGAGCAAAAATGTTAATTTTAAATAAGCCAGACAGTTACTACTTTTGTAAGAATGTTGGCTATATATTCCTCCTATATTTAAAACCAAATAAAACAAAGCAGTAATTAATATTTGAGAAGCTTCATGTGATTACAAAATGAAAATGTCTGTGGATTAAGCCCCATTCCCCCTGGTATCAACTCATCTGTTCACTTTTCAACTTGAAAATGCAGTTCTGTTTACTTTCTCAAAGAGACAGAGAAAGGAAGCACCTTGTGGGGAGAAGTCACCCCTAGTTTAGACATAACCATGCATCACACTATGGCCAACCTGAGATTACTTTCTCTGCCTAAATACACACAGTAAAGCATCTGGATGGCCTGAAGGTTAACAGTGAAAAATGCTGAAAGGACAACAAAGCTCCTTCTGTGCACCTTATTCATGCAATCACTTACTATTCATACCACTATAAAAAAAATCACTGCAGCAACTTAAAAAACAACAACAAAGATAAGGAAAGTGGTGCCAATTACATTAAATCTTACTGAGTTTTCTGGCTGCCAAGACTAAAGGAATACACAATTTCATAGCTCTTCTGATTTGACAAAGTAGGCCTAACTGATAGAGAAAGGAACCTTCTTAGTAGGCTCTACACCAAAAGAGAACTTGAAATTTTTGCATTCACAATTTTGAATCACATAATTGAGGGTACCTTGGAGCTTGTAGTTTTACAGAGAAACAATTAACCATTTGACCAGTTATCTACTGTTAACAGGAGGTGAAGGCTCAATATAAAGGTTGTGTGAAGCATCTCTGTGTGTAGAGAGGTAGAATATTTCATTTCAAATACACAATTCACTGCTGAGCTGATTTGATAAAGGGCTGACTGAATAAGGAAATCCTCAAACTAAAGGTCCTTTTTTTAGACTAAGAAGTTCTTTTTCATGACTGAATAAATTTGTGTTTTCCTTCTCTGTAAATTTATATGCATATTAAGATAAGAGACATGGTATATTACATTATAAAAAGTCTGCTTTTTTTTTTTTTGGTTCTGATAATTGAACTCAGAGCCTCACACTTGCCAGCAGGCGCTGTGCTGCTGAGATACATTCCCTGCCCAAAAGTCTGCTATTCTTAAAGCTACTGTTATTAAAAGAATTCTTAAATTCTCCTAAAACGAACATAAATCATGATTCTATCCAATCTCTGCTCAAATGACAACTGAAAAAGATTTCTTCCTGTTTTCAAAGATATTTTGTTTCTGAAATTAATTGTTATTTTTTAAGCCTTGAATCAAGATAGTCTGCCTACCAAAATGCAGGTGGGAATAATCATTTGCAAATGTAGTTTGTTTTATTAGAAATACTACAAACTTTACCCATCTATAGTCCTAGTGTCTTACTTGTATTTGGTCCAAAAATGGGTATCAAAATCCAGGGGTACAAGATAGCAAGAGACTCATTCACTATTCACCCAAGATTACTGACCACATTCTGTGAACTAGGCACATGGTTATCCACTGGGGAAAAGGACAAGATCTATGACAGACATAGTCCCTCCTCTTGTGAGCATTCAAGACTCATGTCCAGAAAAGGGACTCATGCTGAGTCACACTGCTTTTAGAAACATGATTCCTATGATCTCCCATTCCTACTGCTGAGAGAGAAATTGCTCTCTAAGAGATGTGACAAAAATGGGAACAACCTTATCACTCTGTCTTTGACCAAGATGCTGCCATTTGCAAGGAAGAATATCCAGTTAGTGAAACTTTTAGTAGTAATACATCTGTTTCTGCCTCAATAAAGTGACCCACATTTTGGTAAATGAATACAATCTACTATATAGCACAATAATTCGTTTACTAAAATGTCAATTTCCCAGCACAAATAAGTCTTAATCTATTCTTTAGCAATTAAATAGTACAGTAAAAGTTATATTCAATCAAAGGAAAGTGTAAACAATTAAATATGAAAGAAAATAAGCCCCAATTTCAGAGCTAATTTCAATTTTTCATGTTTGAGAATTCAGTTGCTGAACAAGATTCATAAACTGGTCTTGAACATATAATAACTAAAACAAAAGGCATATGTACTATTGCTCCTATCAAAAAGTCTAAAGATTAGCACATTTTTCTTACCTTTTTAAATGCTTCAGGCATACACCTATCCATAAATCTTTTACAATTCTCATCAGACTCACAAAGACCTTGGTAAAATAAATGAAAGAATACACTGTATTTAGATTTTAGGTAGTTTGCAGAAATTATATAGACCATTACAAATTCATACATATGGAACTATTTATCATAGAAACCTTTAGTCTTAAAAGTTTAGATATTCTGCTGAAAAAATAGCTAAGAAATGATCATGGTATTAGATTTACGAAGGTTAACTTATGATTCCATGTCAGAATAACTTCAATGATTCGATCAGGTAATTAAGAAACAGTAGCCACTCAGCCATACATGGTGGTGCAAGCCTATAATCCCAGCACTCAGAAGGCTAAGGCAGGAGGATCATTGTGAGTTCGAGACCAGCCTGGGCTACAAAGTGAGTTCCAGTTCAGTCTCAACTAAAGAGTGAGACCCTGTCTCCAAAAAAAAGAAAGAAAAAAGAAACAGTAGCTGCGCACTAGCCATTATTTTTTCCTAAATAACTCTATAAAAAAACAAATATTTTTGATAAATGCCAAAATCACTCTTCTTCCTGAAAACAAATTAACTTTGTCTAATAAAACACACAGAACTCTGGCATAATTCACACAGTAAGTGACAAATACTAAATGAATGAATGACTCTATTGTCAAATTGTAATTCAGAAGAAATGTATCTCTTTCTTAAGCCCAATGATCAATTTTGCTTATTGTTGGAAATACTGGTGATCAAATTTTCCCTTTTTTAACCCACTGCTTAGCAGGGCACCTGGATCCTAAAAGAAACTCAAAAAATGCTGAAGTTGAAAAGGCAGTTCTAAATGCAGCATAAAACCTGTCAGGCTAAAATCCAGACCCGTCATAATACTTCCTTTTGTTGTGTCTTAAGAGGAAAAAAAAAAAATCCATTAAAAATGGCAATATTTATTTTTAAAATAAATTTAATTTGAATAAATTATTTCCTTTTACAGATTTATATTACAAAAGTTTCCTTATATTGACACCTATTTTTCTAATGTAGTGATATTTTATCATTCTCTCAGCTTTATTTTTGCAAAGCTTTTAAGACAGCAGTGCCAATCATTTAATAAACACAAAATGATGGTTAATCTAAACATTACTTTCTTCTCTCTCACCCCTTTTTCTCTTGTGCTGAAAATGGAGCCCATAGCCCCACACATAAGCAAGTGCTTTATCAGAGCTACACCCCAGCCTTTACCTTTTGTTCTTAAAAACAAAACAAAAAAACCCTGAATTTTCAAAACTTAAAAAAAGTGTTCCAAGCTTCTGTGGAAAAAAATTAATTTTAACTGCTACAAAGCTTTACAACTGTATTTTAAATAACCTTATGAGTCCTGAAAGAAGAAAACAGCTGATATAGTTCAAAGCTTTTGCTCAGAGGGTAATAAGGACTAAGAAAATAAGCAAACCACTTAAAATCACACAGACAATGACAAGACCTAAGATTAACCCTATCCACCAATGGAAAAAAATCTTATGTTTTCTGATGTAGGGAGGCTTACCAAGTCTTGCTAGATAGGTAGACGCCAATAGGCATTTGCCTAGTGATTCCTCTCGCTTGTAAGGAATGGACCAATGATCAGTCAAAACACGGCTTTCCAGTTCATATAAATTTGTTGTAGGGAATTCAATTCCTTCCCCTGAGCAGTTTCCATTTTCATCATTCTTCTGAGAAAAAAGACATGAAAAGAAAAAGCAAATATACCAATTAGTGACTGTAAAATTTAGAATTTAACACAAAGTAGTTGCTTAGTCAAGTATAGCTATTAATACCAAAAGTATGGACTCCATATTTCTTTATGCAAATCACATCTTTCACCAAGAAAATCTCAAATATTCTCAACTTTTATCATTCTGGCATCTCTATTCCCTCTCTTGAAGGTGATCCCTTTCTCCAAAAGTGAACTCAAGTTCTCATTATAAAACAACAAACCCATCTTCATTGCGGGCCATCCTATTCTCATCTCTTTTTGTTGAAGGATAAACTTCTTCAAAGAGGTATTTAATTTTCCATTTCCATCTCACCATTGACTCCTGGCACCAGGATACTTCCAGCTCCTGACACCACCCCAATCTGGGCTCCAGGGTCCCTACTCCCCAGACTGGCTGTTATCACAGTCACCCCTGAGCTGTATGTCATTAAACACATACAAACTCTGCTGCTATGAACATAGATATGCACATATCACTGTGGTATGCTTTTAAATCTTTCAGGAAGTATTTTCGATCCTTTTATCCCCTCATCTTCTTTACCTCTCCCTTCCCCCTCATCCATAGCCCATTGTCAAGTTTTTGTTTCCTACCATATCCTCTTTATTTTTATTTTTTCATTTATTATCTTAGGTTTCTCATGCAAGAAAAATCATGCTATAATTTTATCCATATTTCTGTTGATGGGCATCTGGACATAAATCAGTATCTGTAATACATCCACATAAATAGAACCAAGGATAAAAATCACACAATCATCTCAACAGATGCAGAAAAAGGGACTTTTCTTGGACAAGTAAAATGCTGTCTATGTCAGACTATTTTTCTCAAAGTCTCCAGCAATGTTCCTGGTCTCACATGCTCCTCTAGAACTTTGTCACACTTCCATCAAAAGGTGGTATTTACTTTCCCTGGCCATAAACCAGGGTGGGATTATGTGTCCCTGCTTTGATGAATAGAATGCAGAGGTGACACTACACAGTGTGCAAGCCTAGGTCATGAAAGGCAGCACAGCCTCTTCTGGCTTGCTCTTGGGACGCATACCATGGACCCAAGGTACGAAGTTGAGGGACCCAGGCTGAAGGGGAGAGCTGCTACGTGTGTCCTCCCCAATGGCCCCACTCAGGTTGTATGGAGCGCCAGCCCTGAAGGCTGGGAAGGAGTCCTCAGCTAAGTCCAGTGACCGGACGTCATCCAGCGTCTTGGCCTCCCGCTGAACCCCATCTGTAGGCATTGGAATAAGTGGCTGTCTTACATCACCGCCCTTAACTCATCCTTCTGCCCCCAAGAGGTCAAGCCCTCCAATTATTACTTACTGTTATCACCCAGAACCTCTGCTTCGAGAGTGCTGCTCACAAATGTAACTGACATTTATGTGTGAGTCACTGTACGTTTACCCCAAACCCACGTTCTATGAGGATATGGACCTTGCCTATTTTTTGCCACTTCTTATCTCCAGAGCCTAGTGTCTATACCAAAGTAGATTTTTAATAAATATTTTTAAATGGAAAAATAATCCATGCAAAAAGATACAGCTATTAATGGGCCACACATCATGCTTTCCTCCAGCTCTCACCATGTTGACTGGTAAAAAAGCAAACGAACCCCAAATGCCTAAAGCCCACTCCTGTGCTCTGGTTATTTTCACAATTCAGTTCATAATTCAATCACTACAAAAATCAATAAAATCATTCCTTAAAAAAGTTTAACCTTGGGCCGGGGATTTAGCTTAGTGGTTCCGCCTCCTGCCTTGCAAGCACAAGGACCCGAGTTCGATCCCTGGTACCAAAAAAAAAAAAAAAAAAAATT